TATATGTATTGAAAACATTTCTTCCATTTTGTCTTGGATTTTATTTTCTTGACATAGTTTCTGGAAAAAAAAAGTTTCTAATTTTGATGACAATTTATCATTTTTTTTCATGGTTAATGCTAATAAGTTCTAAGAAACATTTGCTTAAAGTTTGCAAATACTTTATCCATGTTTTATTCACACATATTGCTTTAGATATACAATTTGTTGAGAAATTAAAACTATTTTTATCTTATAAAAATACCGAATTAAAAGCACCATATTATCTAAAACTTAATCTTCTTGGGATTAGATTAGCATCAATTAAGACCACCTCTTTCTGATCCTCACTTTCTTAGATATTGTATAAATAATTTAATTAGGCAATGAAAGCATTATTACAAAGAATGAGTCAAATGTTTCTGTAGACTTCTGAAGTCTAAGCTTTCATTCATAAAACAGACAATCACACTGTAAAATATGATTATTTTTGATTATTCAATGTCTACATTTCTCCTTATATGACTGAATTTTAACTTTCTAAAAAAGACAAATGATAGAATTACACTTATTCATAGCTAAAGGTGATAACTTTTATTTATATACATCTGACTCTAGCCTCTAATATTTTTAAGGTTCCTATTGTGTTAAATTTAAATTGTGGTGAATTTGATGTGTGCTGTCTGCTTTGATATTGCAGATTTAATTGAGGGCAGTGTTAAGAGGGTAAGTAACTGAAGAGTGACTAAGACTGAAGCCTCTAGCCCATTAATCTAGCCCATGGATCACATTGTTTTCACTGGGGAATTGGAATACTCTCCGACATCTGTTTGAGAGTCCTTAGTAAGCACATCTGATGGAATAGCAGATTAGTTCTGGGTTGCTGTTTATTTGGCACATAGATGTTGTAGTCAGTGTCTTTCCAACCCCATGTCAGAAATATTTTCATGAGGAAATGTGGTGACCAGAATTGGATTCCTGTGAGAACATAGTGTTTCTGGGCAGAGTGATGAGTAAAATCAATCTTGTTATTGTAATATCAGACTATGAATTATTTTTATTATCTAATATGAATCTAGTTTAAAGATTGCCCAATGAATTACTTTTAATTTTTATGCCACGATTAAGGATTATATACCAGCTATTTCTCATGACTTATGTTTATGGTTTAATTTAAATGTCTTCTAATAGCATGTATATAATTCTGTGCAATATATAAACTTATACACATACACTCATACATATATGTACACACACACACACACACACTCACACACACATGGCTAAAAAAAAGCTGACAGGGTTTTCCTGATACTGTTCCCTTTCTTTATATATCTACATTACTTATACTCTATGCCACATGATTTAAATTTTATATAGTCTAAGATTATTCATTTATTGGATTGCTGGATTAACTATCTTCCCAAATAGATTCTGAAGCCATTTCTACTTTAACTTATGTCATTAAAAACTGATCATGACCACTGGGTTTCCTTGCCTTCAGTTGCCATCCTGGGATCCTTTCCCTTAACCCTCTCCCTGGAAAAGAAGAAACGTTTTAGTTGAAAAATTTTATTGCGATAGCTAATGTAAGAGAAAACATAAATTGTTTGAAGTATGATCAAACTATCAAAAGTCAAACCTAAGAAATAATTTTAAAAGCAGCAAGAAAAAGCACCAAGTGAATACAAGGGAATCTTACTAGACTATAGGTGGATATCCCCGCAGAGAACAGGAGGATATATTCAAAGTACTGAAAGAAAAAAAATGAACCAACCTTTGCTAGCTTCAAATTTTTCTTCTGCAGCTTCCTCTCCTCTCTCAACTTTCATATAACTGGAGAGGCATAGGGCATTGGTCTAGTTTAGGCTTTGGCTTAAGAGATTGTTGTTGCTGGATGGATCTTTTATCTAGATTAAACTTTCTTCATGTCAGCAACAAGTCTGTTTTGGCTTCTTGTCATTCATGTATTTACTGGCATGACACTATGAATTTCCTTCAAATGCTTTTTCTTTGCAATCACAACTTAACTCACTCTTTGGTGCAAGAGGACTAGCTTTTGTCCTATGTTACCTTTCAACATGCCTTCCTCACTAAGCTTAATCATTTCTAACTTTTGATTTAAGGTGAGAAACATGCAATTTCTGCTTTGATATGAACACTCAAAATACATCATAGCATTATTAATTGGCCTAATTTAAGTAGTATTGTGTCCCAAGGAAAAGGGCAGCTTAAAGAGACAGACTACTGAATGGTTGTTTGGTAGAGCACTCTAAACACATATAACATTTATTGATTAAGTTCACCATTACATATGGGCAGCTTTTGTCATGATCCAAAACAATTGCAATGGTAACATAAAAGGTCATTGATCACAATTACCATGGTAGATATCGTAGCAACAAAAAAGTTTTAAGTATTTTGAGAATTATCAAAATGTGATGCAGAGACATGAAGTGAGCATTTATCCTTGGAAAATAGCACTGAGAGGTTTGCTTTATGCAGGATAGCCATAAAATGTGCAGAAGAGAAAAAAAGTCTTCAACTTTAAATCTTGTATAAGTAAATTCTGCTTTTCAACAGGTACATCCAAAATCCATAAACACTGGGTCCTAGCTAATCATAAATCTTTTCACAAAGGAAAATAGACTTTTAGTTTTAATGAAAAGGACTGGATTAAAAAAAAAATGCCTGGCTGAATATGAGGCTGGGCATTACACTGACATCAATATCACTGAGAAAAACAAAGCAATTTCAACAATGTAAGTTTTGACAGTTGATTTTTTCAATGTGATGGGGAAAGGGGTACCTGGATTAAATATTGTTTCTTAATGTGTCTGCAACAGTGTTTCTAGATGAGATTAACATTTGAATGAGTGGATTCAGTAAAGTAGTTTGCCCTTCCCAGTGTGGCTGGGTATCAACAAACCCATTTATGGCCTGAATACACAGAAAAAGAGGGGCTTCACTCCATTTTTCCTTTCTCACTCCTTTAATTGAAACATTTCATGTCTCCTGCTCTTAAACTGAGAGTTACTATCATGGACTCCCTTGGATCTCAGGCATTAAAACTAATTCTGAATTATACAACTGGCTTTCCTGGATCTCCAGTTTGCAGACAGCAAACTGTGGGACTCAGCCTCCATAAACATGTGAGACAATTTCTCTTAATCTCTCTCTCTGTCTCTCTCTCTCTCTCTCTCTCTCTCTCTCTCTCTCTCTCTCTCACACACACACACACACACACACACACACACACACAACCAATTATCTACCTATCTGGATCTCTCTCTTTTCTCTTCTCTCTCTGTATATATCCCATTGGTTCTGTTTTTCTGGAGAACGCTGAATAATGGAATCCTAAAGCATATATGCTATTGGGGTGTGTGTGTCTGAGTATGTGCTCGTGGTTTTAATATTATTATTTCTGGTTTATTGGAACTGCTTCTTTTTCTCACATAATCTCCTGGTTTTTTGTGTGTTCATTTTCTATTCTAAAAGTTTATTCGTAGATGGTAATTTGATGAGGCAATTAGTCCATTTTGAGTACACAATAAATATTTCTGTTAATAAAATACTTGGAGCAAAAATAAAATTTACACATTTTTGAATGTTCTTTGTATGTCCATAGTTGTACAGTGTATGATTAATTCATCAATATTATAATTAGTAGCTTGTCACCTGACAGTTCTGGACATATAATCTATATATTTTTTCCATAGTGATAAGAGATCTTTAGTTTATTGCGAAACTTCTATAACTTAAAGTCTTGGGATGGGTCGTCTGACTTAATCTCCCTTTTAACACACAGCTCCTAACACATAGTCCATAGTCACTCTTAGAACTTTTATCTTCTTATTAATTTGAAATGTCAGTAGGATCTAGATATACTTTATGTAAACCTAATCTAAAATATTTGTATTTTTTATTAGGTGGACAATCTCATTTAGTATGTCTAGCAAATGCTATTAGATAGTATAAATGAAGCATGCAGAGATACTTCTGTATGTGTGCTGGATGAGGTCTTACTGGAAAACTGACTTACAAAGTAATTGAGATAAATAATCTAAAGGACTTACTTGATTACAGCACGCCACAGTATGTGGTAAAAACAAATATTTATAAAAACCCCACATATTAACTTCTTTTTAATGCTAAGGACATGATGTCAGTCTATGTGGCAGAGTATCAGAGAAAAATCCAAAAGGATTTTCTTTGTAAATATTACGGCAAAGAAGGATGACATTATGCAAGTACACTGTCATGTTGTATGACATTCATAATCTTTACTTAGAAAGATTGTATTAAAATTCAGGAAAGATTTTCAGATATTAATTTTAGTTTCAAAAAGAAAATAAATATGCAATAAAGGCAGTATCCAAAACTAGTATCATTTCCCATACATTAAATCTGTATTTCAGAAGACATTCAGAGAATATTTCTTAATGAAATATTTCATTTGAAATTTTGCATAGCTTAACTACAGCAGAAACAATTTAAAAAATTAAAATAGTTCAAGAAGTAGATGCAGATGATTTGATAGTAGCTATTATGTTATAAATAAAATTGTGCACATATACTGGATTGCATAAATTGTTATCTAAATTATTTTAAAGTGGAGCTTTTTCTATCCTTATAGACAAGTTTTTGTACAAAAGCAGATGATCATTTGGAATGATAATGTCCTGAAGAATCACCGAGAGTTGGGTTGTGTGGTTGATGGTCCAATTACTAGGTGCGTGGGTGGGTGTGTTTTCTGCTAGATCCGCTGGTGAGTGGGGCTGCCTTTGGTGCCAAAGTCCAGCAGGGCTGGAACCAGATCACAGGGCTGCTTCAAGGTCTACAGTCAGTCAGCAAATGGAGGGCCTGTTACCAGGGGCAAGGATGAGTGTGGTGCCCACCGATTAAAACATAACTAAATTCTATTTCAAAGTGAGTTAAAGGACCTGAATCAACAGTTCTCAAAATAAAAAAAAATTAAAATGGTCAACCTGTATATTCAAAAATGCTCTAAGTCACTAATTATCAGTGAAATGCAAATAAATACCACAGTGTGATATCACCTCACACCTGTTACAATGGCATTTATTAAAAAGGTGAAAGATAATCATTGGCTAGGATGTGGAGAACAGATAATTCTTGTACACTTGATAGGAATGTAAATTGAAACAGCCATTAGAAAACAGTATGGACTTTTCTCAAAATATTAAAAATATAACTATCATATTATCCAGCAATCCAACTTCTGGTTATGTATCTAAGGAATATAAAATCAGTATCTCAAAGAGATATCTGCATGGTCATGTCCATTGCAGCATTATTCACAATAAGCAAGGTATGAAAACAAGCTATGTGTGTATTGATGGATGGATGGAAAAATAAAATGTAATATAGAGAATTATCATATCATCCAGCAATCCAACCTCTAGTTAGGTATCTAAAAGAATATAAAATTAATATCTCAAAGAGATATCTGAATGCTCATATCTATTGCAGCATTATTCACAATAAGCAGGGTATGGAAAACAAGTTAAATGTCTACTGATGGATGGAAGGAAAAATAAACTATATATATAGTCATCCATGTTCATCCATCTTGGGGATAATGGCAGAATTTTCTTATTTTTATGGCTGAATAATATCTCATTATATATATTAGGTTGGTGTAAAAGTAATTGTGTTTTTGCCACATATATATATATATATGTATATATATATATAATATATATATCTTTATGTATATACTTAGATATTATTCAGCCATAAAAATAAGAAAATCCTGCCATTATCCCTAGATGGGTAAACCTGGAGGATATTATGTGAAATTTATTAAGCCAGGCACAAAAAGACAAATCTTGTATTAATATTATCTCACATGTATATGGAATCTAAAAAACTACAACTTACACAAAATAGAGTGTAAACAGGCAGTTGTCTGGGCTGAAGTGTGGAAGAAATGGGGAGATATTAGTCAAAGGGTGCAAAAGTTCATTTTTATGAGATGAGTAAGTTCTGGAGCTCTAACATAGGCCATGGTAACAGTAGTTAATACTGTATTGTATTTTTGAAATTAGCGAAGAGAATTGATCATAAGCGTTCTCTGCACACACACAAGAATTGTAACTATGCATGTAATGAGTATGTTATTAGGTTGATTTTGGTAATCATTCCATAATGTAGACATATACCAAAACATCACATTGTACACCTTAATTGTATGAAAATTTTGTTTGTCAAGTATAGCTCAAAAAAGCTGAGCAAAAACTAGGAAAAAAGAATCATGACTAGCATTGTGTATGCAAATTTTCAATTCTAGATTCCTAGAATAAACATCTTGAGCTCAGATATTTATTTTTTTAAGTAATTTATTAGAATAATGTGGTTTTCATTATCACTAATTGATCTAGATTGAAATGAAGGGCATAGAGAAAAGAAAGAATGAATATTAACAAACATTTTTGTATTTTTAGAAGAAAGTTTAGTTATGAAAACTTAAAATTCATTACTTAAGAACGAATTAATGTTTAAATAAATTATGAATCAAATATGTTTCTGATATATTTGTTACCCCCCCAAAAAAATGGTATTCAATAGTTGCTATGTGTAAAATTCAGATAATTACTTGAGTATTAGTGAGTTCTAGTTTAAAACATAAGTTCAAGTAGTTGGAGCAAAAATTAGCGCATATGTTTTGCATTTGACTTGGAAGATTTCTTGGCTCCAAATGTATTTTGCAAACTATGCTCAGGTAGATATTTCTCTTTATACATTTTAAAACTGATGACCTCTTATGTAATTCTTAATAGGTTTCAAAATATTGCAAATTACATAAGCACAAAAAAGCTTGCCTAAGCAGAGCTTGTTTGTTATTTTTTTCTTAGACAACATTGTCTATCTTCTAGCATCTAGTTATTCATTGCAATGCTCAAACAAATTATAAAGTCATTCTGGTAGATAGATAGGGTCCTTATTGCATATAAAAATATTCATTGTTAATTTAGAATAGTCTTAAACACTAATATTAATAGAATACATAAATATTATTATCCTTACACTATTCTATATGGTCACAGTGATTCTAAAACTATTGTGAGACCATTTAATAAATAATTAGTATAGAATTTTTCAAAAACAACATCTGGCAATTTATTGAGTGAATTTCAATGTTTCTCTGTTAAAAGAACGTTATTGTTAACTATAAAAGACTGAATTTAAACATTTTCTGACAGATTAGTGGAAAATTGCAGTAAAGATTAAATATTATTTTGGAATAAAATAATTTAGTAATGATTGTTTACTTTTTCTTGAATGCTTAATATTCATCACTTCCTATATTTAACATTTGACAATTGCTTATTTGGGGAGTATAATAAATCAGTCACATAATTACCCATAATGAAATGCTCTAACTTTTTAATCACTTGATTTTTTTCCAATATATTACCTAATAAATTAGAGCTGTTCAAAATGCAAATGTCTCTAGGGTTTCTTTATTAGAAATCAAGCTGCCTCCTATGGCGGCTAGGATTTTTTCTAGTTCCATACATATTGTTTATTCCTATCCCAAATTATAAAGGATGAATAATAGATATTTTAAGGTTGAGAATTTAGCCCAACTAGTCGCTTCTTCTTTTCTCATTTTCACAGGCAGAGTTATATTAAATTTGTCTTGTTATCTGTCTTGCCTCTCAGTAAGAATGCAAAAGAACAAAGGGACACTTCATCCTAAGAAGAGAGACAATCACATTGGTATTTTTTATGAAATATTGCTCAAACTGTAGCATAGAGGACGAAAAGAAGACTGTTTGGGAGACCCTCCCCCATCCATTAATAATATTAATTTAGAGAATTCTGGTGAGATATCAAGCACATTATAAAGTTGTATCTCTTATTGCCCAAGTTAGGAGTTACTAATAAAGTTGTATCTCTTATTGCTCAAGTTAGGAGTTACTAAACTAGAAAACTAAATTCTATAAACTAGTAGATGCTTATTTTTACATTTACTATTTTCAAATATATATTTTGAGGGAGGGCTTCTGAAGTTATAATACTTTAGTCAAAATGAATAGCTTTCTTGTAAGCAGGATAAACTTCATTGCAGCAGGGGCAAATGATAGTCTGGTGTTAATTGGCCCCATCGTATCATACCATATAAGATATTAGCCACTCTGAATGATACTGAGGAAACAAAAAACACATTACATTTCCACAGATGATCGTAGCTTCCTTTATCATTTTTATAGCTTATAATATCTTAGTATTTGATGATTACAATTCACATGTCTTTCACAAGTATCAAATATTCCTTTAGTCATTGCTTTGTGATGACTTACCACTTAGATATTGCCCAGGAATAAAACTACAGATGTACAGTTGAAATGTCAGCTACGTCTTCTTCATCCTGGAGAGATTTAAAGAAGGAATTTCACAGGTTTGAAATATATTTGATAGTTGCAATTGTCTGGTGTTTTCCAAGATACCTTGTGATTTTGTAGGGTGCTTAATGTAATAGTCTTCAATACAATGCTATAATGTGCCACTCATTGTATAGTGTAGAGCAAATTTTCATCATTCATTTGCTGGTTGCATAATTGATATCACTTGGTAATACTTCAGTGCTTACACTGAGCTTACATTCCCTTTTATGATCTTTGATAGGCAGAAACAGATTTTACACAGAAAGAAATAGCCAAAACAGTCAATCAACAGCTTTGTTCATATATTATTAACTAAAATCATTTTTCTTTAAAATTAATATGTTTGAGGTAATATAATCATCATGATTGCTGGCTTGTTAAGGTACAATTGATGTTGCATATGTGTTATTTAAAAAATATTTTACCTAAACCCAGTCCTTTGAGAAATAAAAATGGAAGTTCATAATTTCTCCATAAAGGAATGCAGCTTGATGGTGAGGGTTTTGTAGAGCCCTTGGGGAAAAACAGCTGCAGAACAGAGAATGTATGGATTTGCCAACAGTGCTGATGGCACTCCTAATAATAACTGCTGAAGTTGAGAACATAATTTTTTGTAGCACTAATTCTAACAATTATGCATTTTTTTCTGGCACTGTTCAGCAACCCAAATTTAAAACCTTAATTACATTAACAAGGCACAATGTAGCCAAGAGTTACTTATAAATGAAATAGTGGATTCTGCCCTAATTGAGTTATTTTCCTGATTAAATACCTGTTTTGCTTTCCATTGGTTCCTGAATAAAATATTAACTCCTTAGCTCGGTACTCAATGTGCACATCTCCATCCCCCTATACAAACACTCTCATAGCAATGATTATTTTCCATTGTGCTTGCCACCCTCCAAGTGAATGGAGCTACCTTCAACTTCGTGAAGAACCTGCTTTATCTAGCTTCTATGCCTTTACTCATGTTTTTTTCTCTCTCTGTAACCTCCACATCTCATATATTATCATGACATCATAATTGATTTTATAAGATATAATCTCCACTCCTCTGAAAGTTTTTAGGATAATTATTTTAATTCGAGGCTGATATGTTTCCAGACCTGCAGAGCCACCACTAGGTATAGTTACATTACTAGGCCATGTTCCAACTTATTTTACAAGTGACTAAACATAGGCTTAGTGTGATTTCATTATTTGTCAAGCACACTGTGGTTTCATAGCATGTCGAACTAGTGGAGCTTGAATCACATTTCTCAGAATTTTCTCAACTGTGTTAAGAGTTGAGAATGAGTGTCAAGATAAATTTGTGGTAATAGGAACCACTTTATGTTCCTGTCATATACAGCTAACCAACCAGATAAAATATATAAAACAAAATTTTTTCAGATTTTGAATAACAGACTTTGTGAGACATTGGATGCTGAGAGAAATTAAACATGAGGTGAACTCCACAGTTTCCCCAGCTGACCTTCTGTGGAGAGTTTCAGGCTGTAGCCCAGAGAGAGGGGACTCAGTGCTTTGCAGTCTTCTTGAGCTGAGGTCATGGAGGTGAAAATCAGGGGATTTGAGGCATCTATAATTTGCAGGATGGAGCACCAGACAAAATGACAGTTGCACAGAACAGGGAGAGAGAACTCTGGAGACGTGCAAAGTGTTCCGCTTGTGTCTTCAACATAGTGATGGTCAGTGTGTTTGCGTAAATTAATTCCATAAAGCAG